CTGCTAGTTTTTGAAATTAGATTAGTTTGATATATTGTTGTGCTATATTGGAAAAGATAAAGCGATCAACGTATATACATAGCTGTGATTTTGAGAATTTAGCCACATATACAGACGTCAACTCGAGGCAAAAACGGGGTTGTTGAATCTCTAATAATCGTGAAATAATGACGACGAGAAACTGTTAGAAAACAATTAACCCGAGGCTGTTTATCAAGTCAGAAATTAAAAGTATGACGTCTGAAATTTTGAAACAATTTTTCAACGAAGATCGCAAAATTTTAATGATGGGGGTTTTTGTGCACTTGACATTAATATATAGGCGCTCCCGAAGTATGGCGCACAGCCTGAACCCTAACCTAGTATATATACTATGTTCCGGTTGTGCGCCATTTTGATGCACATTTTTCTGGAGGTCCCATATATAGGCAGTTTTCTCAAATTAAGTGTATAGTTTGCTCGTATTACAGACTACCCAGGAACAATTGAAAAAGTATAGACAAAACAAAAATAGGGCGTTATCATATATATCTTTTTTTTATATTAGCAATATTCTTACCTTCATTATTATCCACCGCTTTGAAGTTTTCAACACTCTTAGCACATCGTTGATAGCAATGTAATTACGTACGAGCTAATTAGTGATGTATGTATGTTTATTTGCCTCAAAAATGTAACAGTATCTGCATAATATTTAAACGGTATACCAGAGACGGGATGCATGTTCAAGACCATACTGGCATGAGACACGGATGTGCAAAGCTTGTCCACGTTTTACATGGAGGAGAAAAAGATTTGTACTACTTTGAATTTTATTAAGAGATCTTACACAAATTTTACCTAGATTTGTGATAAGCTCCATTATATATATATATAATATTATTCCAAGTCCATTGTACCGTTATATGTAAAGGCCGCATCGAACCGAAAATTTGATAACTGAATTCTCTAGCTTTTTATATGAAGGTTTTATCTAAAGAGTCAATCAAAGTTATATTGTTTTCATATATTTAGTTACCATGCATAATGAATTATGCTTACCATGTGCAAAGCACCCCAATTTGCATGATCAGCAGAAACACAAAAATCTTCGATGCCATTTTATCTTCTCGCGATTTTTTTCTTCTGATAAACATCGACAAAATTGCCTTGGTACGATTGTAGGTCCCATTACATTTGAACCCACGTACATTTGAACCCATGACAATTGCACCTGTATGCTATTGCACCTATGGAATTTTTTTTGTTTCACGGATAGTTAAACCCATACTAACCCTAACCCAGGGTTCAAATGTACATGGGTTCAAATGTACGGTCACCACGATTGTAGCATGCTAGCCTTATATTCAAAAATTATTTCCGGTCTTATTTTTAAATATAAAATAGCAAATACAAACTTAAATATAACAGAATCATTGAAATGAACATTGCGATTTCATGAAAATCTAAAGACTTCCACACGAATTGTTTCCATCCAGTGTGTTTCTATGAATCTAGATTTGTAACAGAATAATTTATTTTTTAATAGTTAAATGATATTATTTATGAGCCCATTATCTATATAACTTAGTTTAACGTAAAGATTGTTCCCATAAATTTCTCGCAGTTTTAGCAGATATATATTGTGAAAATGCGATCATCCTCAGTATTTAATACATCCAATGCGAAATTAAAAATTTAAGTTTAGTTGATAGAGTGTGAACAGATTTCCGCTATTTTGTAAATTAAATTCGGTATTAAACAATTCAATTAAGCATTAACTTATCTGTTCATTTTTATGTTTAAACTTTATGAATGAGATGTGAACTTAGGAATTATGTGCCCAAAATCAACGATAAGTATCAAAAAACATTTTGTTTTTATGAAAATAGTACAATAAAAAAACATAATCCAAAGTTTCGAAGTATCAGAATATAAGGATAAGCGGAGTAGAAATAGGAGGGAATAATTTTTTTTTGTATAATTATGTGCATACAGGTCTTTAAAGCTCATATATATATATTATATGCTGTGGTAGTACATACCTAAGGGATTTTTGCCCAGCATAATTCATTCCATTCTTTAATTTCTTTATTAAGCTTTCAAAGATCCAATCGAGGACTACAAACCGGTTAGACGTTATTTCTAACTTTGTCACATAAATGAAAAATGTGCGACTTATTGCCATTAATTGTTAAATTATTATTAGTGACTCATTTTTATCTAATATAGACTATTCATTAGAGCAAAAACTGAACTAATATTTTACTGTAATGACTGCCGATCAGTTTATTTCATGACCTTACGTCGTTTTTCTGATGATCAGTTGGGACTTGCCATACGAAAATAGAATGAACTTTATATTCAATTACCGAAAGAGTATAGGATAGCTAGTCAATCATTTTACAAAAAATGTTACGACTGGTACGTGTATATGTTTATAGATTAAGTCTATGTAAAACAAAATTAGTAAGAGCATATGCATTGCGCAGGAGCCTACTGATGAAGCATTTCAATGATTACACTTTTGATATACTGGAAATCAGATAATACAAAACATTGACATAACGAAAAATATTATAATATATATATATACGATAACATATATATGCCCTTCACATTATTATTCATATACTGTATATATTTTTGTTATTATCTTTTTTTGTAGCTTTTAAAGGATATGCGATATACCATAAAATGCAGGTAAAACTTATTGAATTATTTGACGAAACATTGAGTATTTAACTCGGGGTAACATATTTTGTCGGTGGGCCATATAACCAACTTCACAGATCTAGCTGAATTTATTTTTTTCATATATATATATATATACACAACAAATTAATAAATTCTCACAATGGATAATTTTATTTTTTAACATTTTAGTGGTACAATTGAAATTTCAAGTTTTTGCATATTTTGTTAACATCCAGTTTGAAGAAAATGTCGTATTGCCTTCTTCTCGTTTAATATATAATATATGTATATATATCATTGCTCAAAGCGTCTCTTGTCTGAAGTGCTGTACGCTGGTAATTGACCGAATTCCGTGGTCTTGATTATTTGCGATTAATTTCTGCCACAAATACCGTATGCTCCCAGCTTTGGGTGGCCGATTAAACAAGAAATCATGCCTTTGAAAATTGATTGTAAAAGTATACGTTTATTTTGACTCCGTGGATGTTTCCCGACCCTTGACACCAGAGAAATTGTTGGGTCATTTTTGACTCATCGCTGATTTGGTATTGTTGCGGAAATAAACAAGAAAATCGGTGAGCGAGGAAAACCAAAGTGGCTATTGAGGAAAACATACATACATAGAATAAAATACTATAGGTTTAACATGGTAAAATACTATAGGTTTAACATGGTAGCGGGTGGAGGGCTCTAGTGTTAAAGAATTTTTCAATGTGCATGTACATAATTAGTGTCTTGGATTATAATAAAGCTAGAGAATGTGATTATAATGAGGATTACAATCATATTTGTATATCCTTTGTTGAATACAATATTGGACAACAACCTAGTACATTTTGGGGGATTAGAACTAAAAATACATGTTTACATAGATTTTGTCCTCAAAGTGAGTATAGATTAATATTAGAATTTTTAAGAAAACATAACATAAGTAGTACAGATATAAAAGAAGGTATGCATAAAACTATTTATAAAAAATTGTTATTTCTATGACTGGGGATAGATTAATTTTTCTACGCAATTGTAATTTAAATATTGCATGTGAGAATGTTCATAATAATATTCTGGCAAACTATATGAAAACCTTTAATTTCAAGTTAATGTGGGATATTTTACCAGTAAAAACGAAACCTGGAATAAGAAATATTGCAGGAAATGATATGTGTGTGTTATGTGGAAAAGAACCAGAATTTGTTAGCCATCTATTTATGAGTTGTGAATATTTTGATTATGTTTTTGATTTTATGGAAAATACTGTTAGGAAATTAAATAATGCCAGACTTTTGAAAAATTATGAATCTTGTGTTTTATTGGATTTAAGCTATTTGTTACATTCCAACATCACAAGACAAGATTTAGATATCATTGTTTATTTAATTTTAATCACTAGATATAAAATATGGATACAAAGAAATTCTGTTATATTCGAAGGTAGTCCCCCTAATCAGCACCTAGTTATCAAACAAATAAAAACTGCAATCACTTACAGACTCAACATTGAAAAAAATAGAAAATCACCAAATTTTGTCAGAAAATTTGAAATACTAAGGAATTGTATTTGAACTATAAATCAAGTGTGTATAAATTTAGTATGTATAAAAATGAACATGTCTAATATATTTAATTTTTTACTTTAATTGTACATAATATAACTCAATATACTAAAAATTGATGAATTCAAATGATATTATGAATGCTTCTTAATTGTGTACGCTAATTACACAAGTTGAACTGGTAACACGATTGATTATTGTAGTACTTTGAATTGGCATTTAGGCACTGTTTCATCAAGTACCCTTGAAAGCAAAGGCCGTTAACAGGTTGGGTCTAGTATAGTTTAGTCCACAAGTATTTCTGGTGGGCGTAAAATAACGAATTTATGCCTACTTATGCATTACAGGCTTACCATACTGCAGTAGGCTAACTGTAAACGCGTTTTGGTTTGAATTACCACAGCTTTTTACAATTTGTATATATTTTCTGGGTCGATCTCAAATAGCACCAAGTTATAGTAAGATACAGAAATATAAGAATGGCTTGTATGATTTCATAGTGCAGTAGTGTCTGAGTGTGGTGAACAGGTTATACTGTTATAGAATTTTCCTATTTTGTTAGCATGTTTACCTTGTATTAGAGTGTCCCGCAATAACCTATTGGTATTAGTGATAATTCAGAAGAAAGTTGCACTGAATAGCGCTAAGCCGCTAACTATAAGTTATTTACCGTAAAAGTTATGCATCAAATTGCCTTATAGTTAATATGGACGTAGCTTTCTAAACCTTGTACTTGTATAGTTGTATACTCACCCATTTCTGCTTTTGTATTCTCAAAGGTTCTAGTCATTATATGCATATGAAATAGATTATTAGAGCAAACATGACGGAGACGATTAAAAACAAACTGGAATTTCCTCACTATTTTGTCAGAATTCAAGCTATTGAACAATTGCAGACATCTGCAAGACATAAACTCAAAACTGGACAAAAACTGATTTCAGAATTGGATATTCTATGGCAAAAGTGCTGTGAATCGAATGATTCCAATACAGCATGTGCATGTGCAAATGCGATTGTGACTCTGGCCAGAGAAGGATTGTTGGATGGAAATAAAGTGGTTTCAACAGCAGTGAATTTTTCCTCTCACGCTCCTTGTATTAGTTGGCTGCTTCACATCATTGGTCAATTACTCAAGTTAGATGTTTTGAAACAAGTTCAGTCTTGCAATGATGCTGTTTTATATCGCTGTCCATATAATTTTAGATCTCCACCCCATCCATTTATATCCATTCTTTCAAGCAGTCCAAATGCATGGCATTTAGTGGTTTTGCAAATTGAAAACTTATTACAAATTGACATTGATAATTCTGATACAAATCTACTAAATGGAATGTTTGCAATATTAAAACCAATTATTTTGTACATTCTATTAAACCCATCAACTGCAAATGAAGTGGATTTATGCAGATTTAGACTGTTGACCTGTTTATTTGAAATCATCATGAATGAGGACGAAAGGGATCAGAAATTAGAATTCAAGAAAACTATATTTCACGTTCTGGAATATCATGACCCAACAGCTAATACACTTACATTTTATGAAAAAGCTGCAGAACTGAATGAAAAAAATATGATGCTTCTTTTGAAGATATTACGTTTCTGTATCACCACATCAGATGCTTGTAATAAATTAATAGCTATGAGAATGCTGAGAAGAATGACAAAAGATTGTCACTTTGGTACTGTGGAATTTGAGCTGATATTGGTTGCTATTGCACGATTCTTAAAAACCCAGCCTGTCATAGTTTTATTTGATGTTCTGTGTTGGATACAATCATTCATGGAATTAATTGAAGATGTTTCCAGCATGATAGTAGACATGCTAAGACTCACATTGTTGCAGTTGCAGCTTTTGTGTAGCATGAATTTGATAGAACCAAAAACGAAGAATCTTCTTCGCAAGGTATTCACAAGCTTGGAGGAGAAACAATCCAATGTAGCAAATAAAGCATTCAAATCTTCTTCAAGTGAATATTGTATTTTGGATAACTATGGAAATGAAGTATTGTCATTTGCAATTACACTTGAGAGAATTTCTTCAGATCCTCTACTTTGGCTAAACTCAATTGAAAATTTACTCGCAAACAATTCCGTTGATAAAAGTGATATTTCAAACATTACTCATTTGTTATTAACCTTGCTGCTGAATACAGCAAAATTGGATATTGGAGATGAGTATGTGTCAAATGTTTTCAGCCACACTTTAAACTGTCTGATGAAACTAGCCGATGCAAACCCTCAATGTTCATATTCAATTTTGCCAGTTTACATATATTTAATCAAGTGTTCTGATATGATAATTGTCCACAGGGTTTTCTATGCACTACCTAGTTTGGCAAACCATCCTTATTGTGTGTCACCCATTTTGAATATTTTAAAATCAATGTCATCTAGTCCATCTCTAAAACCATTGGCACTAAGGCTTTTGATTAATGTTTGGAAGAATCAAGATCGTTGTTATCCACACATACAAACAATGATATCTGGTGATGTGAACAGCATTTGGAAGAAAGATGATAATTATGATTTTCATTTCGTGAAAGGTCTTGCCATTTGTACAATATGTAAATACCGACCTCATCAATATGGAAGTGATATGCTGAAGCTAATAAATCGTTTAATTATGACACCTGGTCAAGGTAAATGCCATATTGGAATGGTTTCACTTGCATTAGAAGCTCTGTACTTTTTATGTGAAAGCAAAGTCTTGAATTTAAAAACAATGTGGGATGAGGTCGGGCCTCATTTACAGAAACAGACTGAAGCACTCATATGTGCAGGTGTTTTGAAACTTTTATCACTTGTTCCCAGCTTCATGACGGATTCTCAAGAGTATGAAACTTTCCTTGGAATTACTTTACCATGGGTTTGGAATAAACTTAACAGTACAGATGATATCTCAATTGTTGATGCAGCCTTGCAAAGTTTGTCTCACTTTGATTATTTGAATTTTAAAGTTAAGCATTTCCCGTCATCTCTTAGGCCACAAAAAAGTGACGAAATTTCAGAGGAAGAATATCTGGAAAAGCCGGTTCCTGGTTCATGTTTTGGAAAACTTTTACTTACAGTCAACAGTAAAAACTTTGAATCATTTCAAAAATTATCTTCATCAATTCTAAAACAAGAACTGAAAAGTCTTCCGAGGGACATACATCACAGAGCAATGAAATCACAGTTACAGGCATCACAACCCAAGCCATTAAAAGCTATTCCTGAGTTTATTGTGAATTTCTATGAGCGAAATAAACAACCAGCAATGAAGGCAAGTTTAGCCTCTAGTTTGCTTTTATGTTACCGTTCTTCACCAGAATTAGATAGCTCTGGTAATCCACTTCCAAAATCATTGGTCTCACAAGGAAGAAAAGTGATTGACATACTGAAAGCATTACTGAAGGAAGTGTTTATTGAGCCAAATAACTGGCAAAGTTTGTTATGGTGTGCACATGGTTGGAAGGTTTTTATGAAGAGATGTGTAAATATTGTGATAGTTGGCAGGCTTGCTGAGCTTAATATGCAAAAATTAAGAGATGATGGTGATTCCACTGAGGCGCAAGAGGAATTGGAACAAAAGATAAACACTGTTAATTTATGGTGCAGAGATAAAATTATGAATGTTTTGAAGGCTGCTTCTAAAGGAAACCCCAGCTCTCAGGGAAATGCTGTATTTGCATTAGCAGCTCTAATTATTGCAACAAACACCGGTGAGAATGATATGAATGAAGAGAATACTGCCGAGACAAAAATTGACACAGAATTCCTTAAAATGTCACATTGGACAACAATGGCCATTGATACATTGATGAGCATAGCAAATCCGAAACATATTCCAAGTGGAAGAATTATGTCTTGGTGTCAATATAGAGCTGTATCATCCACTGGTAAGCTTAGCACAACTCAATTAGGTAAAATATGTGCTATTCATGCCCTGCCATTCATCACATTGGTTACAATGCAAAAACACAGTGGAAAAGTTCTTGAAATGCTTGCATTCTTGAGAAAGACTAATTTATCAGAAGAAGGCATAACTTTTCACAGCTTTCTTGCCTTGGGCCACATTCTGAGCGTTATCTATCATGAAAACCTGAATGATCAATTCACAAATGACGGTGTGTTACTTATCCAAAAGTGTTTAGAAATGCTTTATGAAAATTTGAACAATATCCTGAAAAACAATGATAAACAGCTACAGGATAATCTTGGATGCCTGCTTGGTTTTGGGTTAGCTTTCTCATCTAAACTCCAAAGCTCTGATCCATCATTCAATGTCGCTGGTAAAGAAGTCATTTTTAAATTGAAAGAAAGTCTGAAAAATGAAGATCATTCACCTGAATGTGCACAAACACTTGCAACTATTTTGACATGGACTCACCTCTCTGCATTTTCCAATGGTATATTTGCAAATGATGAAGTAAACAGTTTGGTGGATATTCTTCACACTGTTGTAGATGAAAATCCATCTAAATCTGGTCTTAGTGAATCACTAGGAACTTTGTGCAATGGAATTTTTCTTTTTGGTGAGGGTTCAATTAGTGAAACAATGAATTCACTTTTCAGCAAATGGTATGCAAATTTAAGTAAGGGTCAAATACCAACTCGGGAAAAGCTTGCATCTATTACTGGTATAAGTGCCTTGGTCGGGGCAAACTCCACTCTATCCCCTGTTGCTGTGGATCCCTCCATGTTGGGATCTAGTCAGTACTTGTCTAAACTATCTGGTGTTGTGAAATCACTGCGTCTATTAGCAAGGAATTCTGATGATCCGGGAGTTCCTACTAAAGCTACCATACTTTTGGGTCACTTATATATGTCACTAGAAAGCAACAGCAGCACTATTGGTTCCATTTTGCCACCATCCTATGAATACTTACCACATACCAGCATTTTGAAATGTTTATACAATCTTTGTATAGAAGCAATAAAACCAGATAATGTGATGAAAGGTGATATACTCGATGTAATCATGAGAGTTATATCTCAAAATTCGTGGGATTTTAAGCTTCCTCCAGTGAATTGGACTTCGGTGCTTTCTCCTTTGCTTCTAGGTAGTTACAGCGAAACAACAATAAACTCTGTTATATCAATCCTACTTTCACAGTGCAATCATTCATCAGCATGCTCTTCTCTTTTATCTATATGGATTTCTATGAAAAAATTTGAATCTATTCCTTCCTCTGCTCAAGCACTAATCTATCAAAATCTGGATAAAGTAATAAGATGTCAGGAAGATTTAAAAATAGCCGACTTTCTTGAGTTAATAGCAACTCGATGTATTGATATGCCTTGGAACTCCGACCAATTTCAAGTAATGCGTGTGGCCATCATAGATGGTTTAACTAAATCATTGAGACAATCTAGTGCTTTGGCTTCTGGTATCAATGATATGTTGTATAACACGGTTGAAGGATTGTTTATGAATTTACCTTTTATGTGTGACAATAAAAGACATATAGACGTTTTACGAAAGTTGTCTGAATGCATAGAATGCCTGCCTGATGCCAATGCGTTGCTTTCAAATTACGAAGTTGAAAATGCTCTTTCCAGGAATCTTCTAAAGTGCTTATTTATCAGGTGTTGCTGTACACTTACTGGTACACATCCACTGAACATGTGTAATAATACAATTCTCAAGTGTGGTAAAGATGAAAGTATTCGTAATGAGTCTTTGTGGATCATTGGTCAATGTTTATGTGGTATTGGAAGAAAAGAACAAGTGCATAGCCAGATTGAATGGCTACAAGAACTGATGGGTGAGATTAAGAAAATAGTCAAATCTTCAGAGAAACTCTATCATGGGCTGTTAGATTATTGTATTGATATATTATCTATGGCAGTTGCTTTTTGGTCAACTGCTGGGAGTTCTTTGCCCATTATGGGACACTACAAGAATAGTTACATGATTTTGAAAGTTCAGTCTACATGTCTAAATGACTGCAAACATATGTTTCCGCTCTCCCTATCAATGTTATACAAGTCCGAGAAATGGGAAAATTTAATAAAGCATATGACTGATTGGTTGATAATGATTTTGCAGAAGGTAAATGTCATTGGTTCAATGCAAAGTTGGGAACAACCATTTAGAGGTGCTCTGTATGCAGCTGTTAATACAAAAGGATACCAATTACCCTCAGTTTGGTGCAAAGTAGTAACTGCAATTGTCAAGCCGATGCTTAGACAAGATAATTGATGGTCTACAATCATGATTCAAATTTAATATCTTTAAGCAATTATTTTATGTTGAGCATTCCTGCTACTGATCTTGTCACTGTCAAACACCATTCACTTTTTATAGTTGGTATGGTTTGTTAAAATAAAAGTCATATATATATACGACTTATTTGTTCATATTTTGCCAATATGGGTTCAGCTACTGTAAATGCCATTTCTCTTTCACTACACTGATGTATTTAGTCTGATTGTAAGGGCACTAAAGATTTTATGCTTAATCAGTTTAGTCTCAAATCAATAACCCCTGCTGTACTGAAAATGATGACCAGGGCAAAACTTTACATTGGTTGTTTTCATACTGACGGGTGAGAGATCACCATCACAAAATTGTATGTAACTAAAATAACATAAAGGGCGAGGGACCGCAATCATGAGCTCTATACTAGGGTTGCTGGTTTGAGACCAGATTTGAAATCCAGGGGTCTGGCCTCAACTGACGTAGGTTCGATTGTTGTTAGTGCGTCACACATCTTTTCTGGCCTATTCCTGCTTGTCTCATATAGCAGAATTTCTTTCTCAACCACCGCCATTCAACATCTATAAGCACATCTTCGACCCTCTTTGTCTTCACACAAGGTTCCAAGTCATTTGAGTGTCTGGCCAGCCCAAACTTGCAACCATTGAACAAGAGCTTGGCATGACCTGTCTATGTTTTCTCTATGATAACTACATTTTACCCACCAATTTGGGCAACAGGAAAATTCACATACATACAAAGTTGAACAAAAAATATATATTAACAAGTTCAGAAAAACATTAACACATATTGAAGTATCATCTTGCTATGGCAGGAATGAAATATTGCAGAGATAATTCATCATGAAGAAGGAAAAATTGTACTATGGTCCCATCAACGATATCTGCAAAAAATGATATTGCATTTGTTATAGCACATGCAAATATTTAACAAAAACTAAGGAGGCCATTGCTCAAAATAGACACAAAGGCCAAAACAAAGTAGTATCAAGTCTTTCACACTGCAAGTAGTCTAACCACCAAATCACTGAGATGTGACTACGGTGCACAGTTTCCAATTTTAATGAGGCCATCACACAGAAATTTTTGAAATAAAAATAATAGCAACAAGCTTTCACCACCTGAAATTTTAAAACAATTCGTCGACTAGTTGAAGAGAAAAGCAAATTTTTCACAACAACAACAAAAAGATACATAGGTCAATTCATGTCCAAAAACACTTACTGCAAATCACACGCTCTGGGTTTATAATCTGTCCTGCCAAAAACTGCAGAAATTTTTTGATATCTATTCTAGCACTGGCAAACTCATCAGGAGGCCAAGCAAGCCTGTGAGAGACACTTTGGACTTCTTCATCTTCCATGCTCACATCAGGGATATCCAGATCTTGAAAACTAAAAACATAAAAAATGTCTACTTTTATTGTCAAAATATCGGAAACCACACAAATTCGAGCTCGCACTTTGTCATGTATACCACCTACTATACTAGGGCTGCAAAGTCTAGGACAGACAGGGGTGGGCACGGTTTTTAGATTAGGGGCCATGTAAGTATGAGGTAAAGAGTTTCATTTTATGAACAATGTTTACAGTGTTACAAAAGCAACAGTGGAAAACAATAAACCTCATGCCAAAACTAAATTTAACCGCAATCTCAACAAATTCCTTGAGTTATATTTAACTAAAACATCAAAATTTGGTTTCAGTTTGGTCGTGGCAGCATCGGGCGGATCGGATTTCGCTCACGGGCCATACTTGTCTGGTCTAGGACAACCAAACTCTGACCTCACAGCACTGGATTATACTGTAGATATGTCCTGGTGTCATTTTTAGCCAATCAATATCAAACCAAATATGTTCAAACAATCTATTGATGTCTTTCGTGACAAAAATGAAATGCAAAAAATTTTCGAGTTATTGTTCAATTATTGTATTGGTAATAATAGTCCTTGAAATATTAATCTGATGACTACATGTCAGGACAAATGTATACAAGAAAGCAGAAAACCAGAAACATGATTGACAGTTTTGGACATGCAGATACTTGAAATAATATGTTGAACGGCTTTACCTAGTTTTTACTGTAACAAGATCTGTGTCAACTCTCATCAACATCTCACCCTGCTGATTTGCAGCAAGAATCAAATATGAGCTGATGTTTTTCATTTTTTCCGCAATTGTCTTGACCTGATAACAATTATTTTCTTTCATACAAATTGAAGATGGCATAAAAATAATTTTAGCCCCTATAAAACTATATATATATATAAATTAATATGCAAATTCAGGCAGCACATATTCATTAAACACACTGTTATTGATATTTAAAATGATCTCACCATTTTCAATGGAGGCATAAATATTGTCACATGGTAGTTTGGCATATTTGGCTCTGCATAATCTCCCCACAGTCTTCTTGGTATTACTGTTACAGGAATATCATGTGTTACAGTCCGCGAGTCAGACGCTAGAGATGGCTGAAATGTTTTATTATATGGCAATTATCAATGAATAAAGCCCTTTTTTTTAAAATCATATATATCTTTACCAATTCAACTTCTAGTGATAGACATGGACTTTGTTTCTTCGTCAGTTTGATTTTTAATGCTTTTGCAGCTTGTGCAGATTTCAGTGCTCTGCTTAAATTTTCTGCTACAACCTCAAGATAGATTTCATTGCAATCCTTGTTTACTCCTTCCATCTGGTATTCATCAAAGAAGTTTTCCTAGAAAAATGCATATCGTTCAATACTCTGTATCAGGATAACTCAAGTTTGAAAAATTACTTTTTATATGAAAACAAAAATTAAGGCTCGGCGGTGTGGCAAATCATGCTAAGCGTTAGGAATGCGTTCCCCCTCTGATTACACTGCGTGTATCCGGGGATAGCTATGTGCGAAAGAATTGCTGAACTCCTCGCCGCCGTAGGGTGGTTCATGTGATCGGTTGCGGCTTCCTCCACCATCAAGTCCATGCTTCCGAAAATAAATAACTGGCTAACTAATCCCATACCCGACATGGATTGGTAACCGGACAAGAGGCCACGGTTCGCATATGATTAAAGAGTCTTTCCTCTACCCCGGGATAAATATGTAAATCCAAAAGAAGAAGCTGATTGGGTGCCACTCTGACAATGATTGAGTTCCCTGAATGCTCAATTATCATTGAAATTGGCCAACACATTATATCTAATATGAAAACACATACCTGCTTGATTTCACACCACATGCTGACCCCTCCATTAGAAACCTGATCTGGTAGAATGAAATAAACTTTTTCAGAAGTGAAACGGAGGGTGCATTTCTTTAAAAGTTTGGATATTGTATTCACAACTCCTGAAATACAATGCATAAATTGAATAATTCTAACTAACACTTACTTACTCACGGTATGTTAACCATGTATGGATGTACCAGCTCTCACGGTTTCGATATTATATTATAGGGAAAATATCCCAGAACCCGGTTTGAGTACGATACGGTACCGGTACCATACGCCTGACGGTATCTAGGCTAAAGTGGCAGTTTTATCTCTAGACCTACATACATAATTTGCAACTATAAGTAATTAGTTTACTTCTTTCCTTGAACTGCCTGAAAATAGGCTAGTACTCACTTGTCAAGTGGTGCACACATCCGATATCAACAACTTTTGCTCGAAAACGCATCCTGTTTTAGTGACTTAAAAGCATAAGCGACTCGCAAATTCCACAATTAGACAATTGAACAAGCGCGGCAATGTGAATCGGGGGATCCCCCATAAGAAAGTGTTAAGCTATTCTTAGTTGCCAGATTTTTATTGAGTTCATCCATGGAATTCTAACGATTGTTTTAATTGTCTTTGCATGAAATTCTTTATCGTGAGTTCTGTGTTGTAGGTGCAACGTAGTTCTATATAAAATGCCCGGTCAGTTTTTCTTTCTTAGTTCTTCGGAAAATTGGAATGATGCGTTCCGCATCCTGAATATGTTCATAACTATAATTCGTATTGCTAAATTGTTGTTCGTGTTAGTGCAAAAATTTATATACGCATTTTTGTTAGTTTCTCCGCAGTATTTTTGCTTCTTGTGCATATTTCCCCAAAAATAAGACCTACACTGAAAATAAGACCTAGCCTTAATTTTGAAAATGATTTTAATATAAGCCACCACCCCTTCAAATAATACCTGGTCAATAACGTGATTTTTTTTCGACCTACCGGTAGTTGATAGCAAGAAATTTCTCCTAAACTTTTTGAATGATTGGTAATCCATGTTTTGCAGTTATTTTGAATAAAAACGTGTTATTTAAAAGTAATTTGATATCGGTTTCATATTTGAAAATCTTGTAATTCTCTATTTCATAATTTTGTTTTTGATAAATGAAAATATAAGACATCCCCCTAAAATAAGCCCTAGTGTTATTTTTCGAAAAAAATGAAATAAGACCCAGTCTTATTTTCGGGAAACACGGTAGTTATGCATATCCATCCATCTAGGGCAGTGGTTCTCAAATCTTAACCTTTTTACTTTTGTGGCCAATTTTCGCTGCCCAAAAATTCTTGTGACCCATACATTTTTGCAAGTGATAAACTAGAAAAAAAATCCAAATCTTTCTGTAAAAATGGACACACTCACTTTAATAATTAGAAAGTAAATTGTCACTAAGAAAACGGCATCACCAATCATTGTTAGTGCAATCAAAATAATTGATAGTGACATAAATAAACTGACAATTTTCAATAGTTCTGTGGTCCACCTAAAAATCTTTCCATGGCATGCTGAGTCAGTGACTTAATTGAAACAGAAAATTGTGATCTACAGTGGATAACCCATGTACTGGCGTATATTTTCAAAATAAGCCTAAGTAGCCCCAAATATATTGAAACCAAAATAACAGCACTTTACAAATATATGGACAGGGTGGTGCAGTAACTAACCGCAGTATTTTTGTTGCAACAACACAAACTACTTCTTGTAATCCGTATTGAGTGATTCCATTCTCAAGCGCTTGGATTTATCTTGTTTCAATGACGTAATTACCATAAAGTTTCTTACTTACTTAGTAACCCATAACTACGTAATGGCGCAATAAAAAAAATTCTTTTCAGCTATAGGCTTTTGATATTTCATAGATACGATAGTAAAAGTGAATATATCGGAAAGAAGGAATGAAAAAAAATATATATCGCTAATCCCGCACCAAAGCAAATATTTGTAGATAAAATGTTATAGGTTCCCCATTACGATAGCTGACAAATTTCGATTGTATAAGCCTGATCCTTTAATTTAAATTACAGTTTTTTTTTTGAATCAATGGGTGATGAACACCACCAAATACAAACTATGGGAACTGCTGACTGTTTTTTCGTATTTATGTACATTATTTCATACAATTTTAATGCAGCGCCATATTTTCCGTTCCATAATCAGGAACTGCAATCTCTCCCGACTGGTTACATTGAAGAAGTTTATGTAACTTCACTTATATTGGCTTTGCCAATACGCTTGGGTGAAAAGGTTTTCAAAAAGTTTGATACCAGGCATTTAAAAAAACATACTACCTTGTTTTTCCGAAAATAAAACCTAGCCTCAAATTTGAAAATGATTTTATAAGCCCTCCCCCTTAAAATAAGACATAGCGATAGTATCTTTTGACTTAGTCGATAGAAAGAAATCTCTCCCACGCGTTTTAATTGATTAATCTATGTATATGAGACGATAAGGTTCAATGAAGTTCTCAATCGATGAGACCTTTCATTGTCGACATGAAACTACAGGTGCAAAAATTCGACAAAAAATTCAATTAAATTAAATCTCCATTGGCATGCAAGACATTCCAGGGGATAGTGATATGGTTAATTTCAAATCAATCTATGTTTAGCAGTTTTTTTTTTTTTTAATAAAAACGCGTTATTTATAAGTAAAGGGATATCGGTTTCCATATTTGAAAATCTCGTTATTTTCTACTTTGTAATTTCGTTTTTAATAAATGAAATTAAAACACATCACCGAAAATGAGCCCTAGTGCTATTTTTTGGAAGATAATTGAAATACCACCCTGTCCTATTTTCGGGGAAACACCGTATGCTTATTTTCTGTTGAACCGCGTAGCTGAAATTTGAGATGTTTCTGATATATTCCATCCCGAAAACAAAAAAATCAGAAATCGTTGAATGAAATAGATGTTTATCAGGGATACAAGAATTTAAGAATTGATGCACGACATTTCGCTGAATTGATACCTAACGGTTATGAAAAAGTGATTTCGCATCGAGTTATTTGTACATAACCTCAAGGTATCAATTCACCGAAATGTCAGGAGTTTTATTTTCATAAAGAGGGAAAGTAAGAAGAAAATAAAAATAGAAAGATACGATACAAGTCGAAACTCTTTTGTTTCGCAGCTAACTATCAGCTTATATTTTCGCAATATATATAGTTTCGACACTTGTGGCTTTAGTCGTCTGTGAATAAGTAGTTTCGGTAAAAAACGAAGATTAACAATTTTTGCTTTTCATTTGTTGCTTCTGAAACTGAATGAGTTAAAATAAAATAGATCAACAAATTATAATATTCAACATTTACTTACAAAATGTTGAACGAATTGTGCCTAACTCGAATGCGATCTTCTTCGAAACCGCTTTTGAGCAATGTGTCACGCGCACTAAGCGTAAACATGAAACGTCGACCATTACATCATCGCCTCTTCTGGGGAATTCTTCCATAAACGCCCCTTGTTGTAATTTCGAGTGAGAAACCCCCTTTTCTACAATATATATAAAAACCTCGATCGACTTCTCGCAAAATTTCAGTTCTACACAGTCACACAGTATAAAATGGTGAGTACTGTACTTTAAAAAATTAAATATTTATGATTTTGATATTGTCCCACCACTATCTTAGGCTAGGTTAGTTTATGGTAGGTTACGTTATTGCTGCATCCTCATCAATATTAAAAGGAAAAAAGTGGGGCAATATTAAAATCTGAAATATTCTAACTAACCTACGATAGACGACACAATCAGAAAATAAGATATAAAAGTGGTGATGCAATAACAGTGCGATACCGCACTTTTATATTTTTTTAGTAACGCCAACTCGCAATATGATCAGATATATTGAACTAATAGCTACAGGAAAGGTATATTTCAGTAGGGACAAGTTTAATACCACTGGTGGTTCTGTAGTCTATCTTACCGCCCTGACTTGTAAGAAATTGTGCGAGTCAAATGAGGTCTATTTTGTTGTAACGATTAGAATATATTAGTAAATCTCGTTCTCAAAATTTTAAGAAATGCCTGTAACCGCTATAGAAATCGGGTAGAAATGGAAAAAAAAATTATATCGAATTACATCCCAAATGCGACATGTTTAAAAGGTGTATATATTCGCATGGCATTTTTTCCCGGACGAGAATATCTGAGTTAGATTGAGAATTAGTGAAAATGAGTTATTTATGTTTTTCTTATTGAAATCTATATCCCGCTTCTTGTTTTTGGCTTTGGCAATAATAGAATCTAATATCTATCTATATTCTATGATGACGATATTTTAATAATAGGATTATCAAAAACGCAAAAGGCTTTTTAGAGGACAATAGTATTTTTATTTCACTGAAATCAACAGCCTGCATACAGCAGATCCATTCAGAATCAAAACTAAGTTAGACTATGCCATTCTCAGGTTAGGAACTGTAAACTTAACGCTTATCAAATTCATGCAGTTCACGTAGTAAACAGGTGAAACTATACTTCGGCGACGGTGACCGTATATTTGAACCCATGTACATTTGAACCCATGCGTATATCCACGGGTTCAATCTATATTCGGGTGCTAAAACCCATGGGTTAGGGTTAGTATGGGTTTAACTATCCGTGAAACAAAAAAAATTCCATAGGTGCAATAGCATACAGGTGAAATTGTCATGGGTTCAAATGTACGTGGGTTCAAATGTAATGGAACCTTCGGCGACATAAAATTACTGGTAAAAATAAATTTGACGTTTGATGGGAAACACCGATATATTTTGTGTGTTGAATGTATTAAGTAAATATTAATACGTATTTGCGCAACTAGGCTACTCTTGCGCAAGTAAACGTCACAGAACAAGCGAAAGTGTTTCGTCTGTTTCTGTCGCTGACGAAATATCATACCGAGGTATTTCTTACACTCGACGTAACGCTAGACTAAACTATTATTATTAAAAACTGCGTTGTCTGTTTTACACGGACGGAAAAGGCTTTATTGCGACCTCAACCTACGCGTGTGGTCGCATCAAAGAATACCTGTTGTTGGCGACATATTATAAGGTGCCAATCACTTTACTTCAGTATGTATCAGGGTGCTTCAATACGATAATCCTATTGTCTACAAGTAAAGTGATAGGTAAAATAAACACCAGTGATATTTTTGTACCGTCTGGAAACTTACGAAAAATTTCTAGGTGTTATCTTTCTCGGCGGGCTTCGCATGAACGCGTGCTGTATCAATTGGGTACACTCAGCAATTTTAATGAACAAATTATGGAAAAGGATAGTCGATCAATACACTGAAATTAGGCCTCTTATGTAAACGTAATAAGTTGTAATATCGCTAATTTATTCATAAAATGAAACTACAAAAACAAAATTCAATTTTTACACAAAATATTTATAAAGTTACATTTCATAAATATTGGATTTTATAAATAAAGATACTGACGTAATAGTTTAACTATAGAAATAGGGTGATGCATTGCACCATCCTTTTTCAACGTCACAATTCAAATATTTGATAAACTGCACAAGTTTGAAAAGCACCTCGTGTAAATTCCTTATATTACAAACAATTGTGCGATGAATAAATATGTTATGTAATGTGCTATAAAATAGCAGCTGGACCCTAATATGTCATCCTGGTTTCAAACCTCAATAACATATCTTGTACCAACACGAAGGGTCGTCATAAATTTCGTACCGTAAGGTTTTTTTTGCCTAGTTGTAGTCGCTATTCTAGATAATGAGTGTGTGTGCGGCAAGTCAATGCCCATGAAAAAGTAAACGGACCTCCTGAAGTATGCGCTCAAGATGGCTCACAATCTGAACTCAGGTTGTGTACCAGGTTAGGGTTCAGGTTGTGCGACATCTTGGTGCGCATACTTCAAGAGTACCGAGTAAACTCCCATTATAGGTGAATTTACACATGTATACAATTTGGTACGAGCGAGAAAACGAGCACCAAACAAACCATGGATTTTTGATTTTTAGTCAACGAATATTCATTTTGTGTATTTCAATACTTCAAAATGTATGCTAAATCGAAATATTTTCATTTTTAGATAACCAAGATATGTGCCGCATTGTTGCTGTTATTCACTGTTGCAACACTTGTAGTCGGATATAGAAATGAAAATAACAAACGCGTAAAATGTGGTGAAAGCTCATTCTTCAACGCCACAAGACAAGCTTGTCAAGCCTGTGGTATATGTGAACCAGGTATATGATAATTTTTGTTAGTAACTTGTACAAGCCTAGCGTCATATGACTCTACGTATTAGAGCCACGGAATGCTGAGACTTTATTTGATTCAAGTGAACCATGGTGTTTATACTAAGACAAAATAAATGTCACGCGCTGAGAAATGACTTTGCAGTTTTTCTCGGTAGTCTTGTGATTCACAGATTTACGTCATTTGCAACTGATCTCCCCACAAATTCCCCCCAAACTTAGGAGCCATGAAAATGCAACAAAATTTCGATATCAATTATAATATGGTATGACGAATACGACAAAAAATATTTTATTTTGACAAACTCAACCGGCTTTATTACGATGAAATGTGTGTGTATTATTGTTGTCTGATCTCGTTTTCTGGTATTCATCAAAGGTACATACATCAAAAGAACCTGTAGCGGAACTCGAGATTATCACTGCAAAAAATGTGAACCTGGACATTTTTCAACCAGATATACAAGATTGCCTGGGAAATGTCGAATGTGTAGTCGATGTGGGGATAGACCTGTTATAAAACGATGTACAAAAACATCAGATACTGTATGTGGTGATTGTCCTTTAGGTAAGAATACTCGTTAATGCGAAAATCAATGTGACGTACAAACTTTCCACACCAAAATCACATTATGACTTGTGTTCAGGCACTTTCATGTCGTTCGGACGATGCATTTCTTGTGGATATTGCTTTCCAGACTTTGGTATCGATATACCAAGGGAGCCAGCTTGTGGAAAGCCTCAGATACCAGCTTCACACCGATGTACCGTGCTCATAGTAGATCCATATGATCCACCTTATTTAGTGTCGAGGGCAGATGATGATGGAAATCAATATTTTGTATCATGTGAGTATTTGAAAATAAATGTTTGTTCAAAAATTCTTTTCTCTCTTTTATGCCCAAAGTTATTAATATTCCATTGAAAGTTTTAAATGTTTTTTTAAGGTTTATTCCGGCTTAAAGTCCTTTTAGTTGACGTGGAATTTTTTATGTAAAAACTGCTTCGTTTCTACCTTATCAATAAGAGCCCTATTTAGAAAATATTATAGATTACATCTATTCCGGATTTGTAATTTTACAAGTATTTTCCTAACAGCTGACACTCTTTTGCCAAAAAAATCTGACACACCTCATGACAACGCACGATTGTTGATCGACGATAAACAAACAAGTCAAGGAGAAAGACACACGACAACGATACCAACAACAACAAAACGTGTAAACATGGTTACGAGCGTATTGGCGAACATACCTCGGCACACCGCTAAAGAAATATCCAGTAGACTTGTAAAATATGGAGAAACTTCTTATGAATATTGGTTGGCTGGTGCCGGAATCATAATCAGTCTATGCATTGCTTTAACTCTTGGGTGTATCAGTGTAATCTACCGTCGCAGATTATCACAAACTGTGACTCAAAAACCTTATCGCCCGATTGTGAAAAATCGACAACAATACTACGCTCATTTTGTGGATGAACATACAAAACATAGTTTGAAGTCAGCTCTTTTAGACAATGCCTAATATCAAGCCTCAATAGAGTTTTTCGTTAATACTTTCTTGGGAGAAATTTACTAACAAAGTGACCATCAATGATGGAACCAAATGGAATGAAATTATTTCAAATGAGTTCAATATATTTCTGTTCGAATTGTGCGAAACCTTTTTTTATATTTGGGAAGAATATATTTTAAAACGCCTGCTTTCATAAAGCACGTCTTCGAAACAGAGAACTACGGTAGTTATTTAGTGACCAGGGTTCATTCAGCCATTCAGCTCAAAATTAGAAAATAGGCTAGTTGAGTACTGATGCCATTTGTAGGTGTATGCCAGTAGCCATTGAGAAAGCAGTAAGAGTAACCCTAGTTCATCATCAGTTGTTCCGTATACTTGTACGCTTAATCTACCAACAAAAAGTTTATTTTGGTACCTTATATTTATTCTAAATCACAAGCAAGAAATAAGTACAAAATATATACAAAGGCGAATGTTGTGCTCACGCAATTATTTTTAACAAAAAACAAAACAAGCTGAAATATAAAAAAAAACGGTATCTATACTAAGAATTATAAATCACAAGGGTATTTTTTAGGATCTCTGTTAAGTTATAGCGATTTCGACTTGGTTGAAATATTTCAGGAAGTAACGCAGGCAGATGATTTAATAGCTTTCATGTGTATTGTAATAACGACCCCATAAGATGAGTAAGCTTTATAATATTTAGCAACTATGTTGTTAGTGACAAAGTGTCCTGTTAATTTTTTTTGTCTTGACAACCGACCAAAACAGCATAACAGTTCTACTGTCTGAATTGTCCCAGATAAAAAACTCCAAAAAACGATTTGTCGTCGTTCATGTCGATTACAATTCCACCCCTCGTTGGATGGACAGACAAAAGTTCATCTGGTCTGAGATAGAAAACACCTGCCGTATAACTCGATTCTTCAGATAGCACTGGTCTGCCAGGACGTAATCTGTCAGAATGAATGAAATCTAATAAAAAATACGGTTCACTTACTTACATTATTAAACTATTTTCAAGCAAACTGATCAAAATGTTTATAAAATTACCAAGAACACAATTTGCAAAAAATATCTCCCGAACTAAACATAAAGTCATACAGGCTTCTTACATTTTCCAAGAATTCGAGCTGGTAAGTAAAGTTTTTCTCGTATCTACGCCATTAACTGTTGTTGTTACATCTACAGTGTGTCCAGCCGGAAATACACCGTGTGTATGATATGTTACCTGTTAATTCAACGTGAAAATAATACAGCATTACAAAAATATTACTGGTCTTTACTATATAATGTTTACATTGAACAGAGATTAAATCAACGGTTATTCGAAATTGTACCGTACTTGACTATACACATGATATAATCCTTCAGTTGCTATTCGTATGTACTGAATTCCATTGTTTCCGCTGTCATATCTAGTTTCCATATAACATATACTGTGTGGTTCCAAGTCTGGTTCCTTCCAAAGCATGCAATCATTTTCTTAATAAACAGTTTATTGTTAATACTTCATATATTGATGGTACAAATACACAACGCTATGGGAACTTGATAATTAACATAATAGTTAAATACGAATCAAATTTACCAGATTATTTTTAATAGTACACAAAATATATTTTTGATTTCTACTTGATCTAGGTCTTTGCCTGGGGCCATCTTCACTGAAGATTTCTGGTCCTTGTTTTCCTTCTAAGTGACACGGTCCCACAGTCAACTTTTTGTTACCTATCATAAAACATAATTTTAATTAAGTGATGTAATTATTATTATTACATGATTATTTTACAAGTAATTTATTCTCATATTTTTATATATAGTTTTTACATTTTTTGTCTCTTTTGCATCTGTTTATTCCTCGTTTTACCCTCTTTATTTCAACTGAATTTTCTTTTTCTTCAATTACATCGTCATATGAGATGTCGTCAATCGATGATTTTTCATTCTGTAATGTAATCGATTCGTGACCGTTGAAATTGCGTGATATTCTAATGTTTATATTGGAATATAAAGCAATGAATAGTATTTTCAACAATTTACTTCATCTATTTTTTTAACTGAATAAAAATAACAATTGAACTTTTAAAAAGAAAAGGACATGGATGCCTACTGTTCAATGTAATTGTTACCTTTCTTGGCTAATATTATTTGCTTTTGCTGGATGGATGGAATTCGGACGCCCACACGGAGACAACCGCATATCACAATAAAACGTGAATAGGCCACACATGATACACCAAACTTATATTTCCTATTTATTTTCTACCTCGTTTATGGCATCATCATTTAAGTCTGCTTGGTGGTCATACATTTTTTCCGGGGAGTTTCCATATTTGGTATTTACTTCAAGCAGATTTTGTACAAGTTCCGTATTTATTTTCAAAAGCCTTCTTTGTTCTTGAAGCTAAAAATATCAAAAAAGGAAGTTTTAATAGAAGAATTTTTTAGCTCTTCCTCTTTTCTCCAAACGCCCACTCACCTCACACGAAAGCTCTATAACTTTGAATGCCACACCTGAAATAAGTAAGAACAAAGAACACCACAATATGATGATAAATATACGTGGGCGAGCGGTACTTTTCCGTCCACACAAAATAACATCCTTGCGTGCTTTGACCAGCTGCTCTCCTTTCTCAGAAATGTTCAACGGGGTATTTCCTTGGGGGCTCATTTGGTCGTTCCAACTAAGCTTTTTATAAATTTAATCTACAAACAAAGAAAAGCAAAAGTAAATTCTTTTATGACTTCAAATAGCAATTGGAAATCACCGGCATTGCTGAAATACTTCTGCAGCTCGTGCGTGGGGTTACAAGACGCTCGAACGCTAGACTACTGATTTCAGCTACAAGTTATACGTTATATGAGACGACCTTTCTGCACAGCGAACGAAATTGTATTCAAATCGGGTGATAACCCTTTTTCGTAACAACTATAACAGTTACACACAGAACTCTAGATCAATAGGGTATTAAGTTTTTACTTGTTTGCACGCCTCGGCAATCACATACGCCGAGAATAAAGTCGTTGTAAAAATAGGTGATAAGGTGAGTTTCGTATCTTAGGAAATTCGGGACCGATATCTAATTCATTCCATTGAGTGCCGAGGAACCGGAACAGGGCGTGGGGCGTGTTTACACACTCATGCGATAGCCTATTATTATATACAAGGCAAACAATGTTGGCGACATCGACTCCCATAAAGATGGGTGTACTGGAGGAGGCACCCTATTGAAAACAAGAGTTTCGGTTCTCGTAATTCGTGGCTCGCCGACTTTAAAACCGGTATGACCTTATTTCAAACTCAGAAGATTATCCAGAACAGAGGCGTATAGAGGGTGGCCCCATATATCCAATCAATTCTTTTGCTGAATGAAATTTTCTACTAAGTAGATAGTCGTTTATTTGCGACAACAGAAGACATATAGGTCCACTTACAAATGACTAAAAATATTAAATGTCGAAACGATTCATAATGAATTTTGCTGATTTTATTAATTCATGAGAACACACGTTTTATTCAGTCATCGTTTTGTTAAGCAAACTCGTTGCACTCACTGGTTACTGGGGCCGATGTGTATACTGTAATTCATGTTCTTCAGTCTCATTTGTTGAAATGCACCTTAATTAATACTTTTTCAACCATGTATTTTGGCACACAGATTTTAGCACACACATACAGATTGCACCCATGTATATTTTCACCCACGGACATTTGCACTCATAGTTCTTAATGCCTTTTCATCCATGTACGTTTGCGCCCATGCATTTCCACACATAGCCTTTAGCACACTCATACAAATTGCACCCGTGGACGTTTGCACCAATATATATTTTTACGGACATTTTGCACACATGAATATTTGCAGCCATGGACATTTGCACCCGTAGACAGTTGCACCCGTGGACATTTGCACCCGCGAACATTTGCATCATTGGACATTAGCACCCAGCTTTGAATCAATACAAATGTTCGTGCTCAAATATATGGGCATGGTAGTCAAATATTGAAAAATAGTAGTGCCATGAGACGCAATAAAACGCTAAAATTTCGACTGAAATATCAGCTGAGACCAAATGCCTCAGAAACACTATAAAAGTATTCAAGTACAGAAAATATAAAATCGATTAGCTGGATTATTCATTAGTTGCGTAGAACAGTTTTTACTTTTCACCTTACACGATCCATCGTGTCCGACAACGAATAAAAATAATTGTGGGAGAGCGACACAATATAAACACCCCCACCAAATCGGTAATATGTTGCATTCCGAGCTTCTCTTAGAGCAGTGGTTCTTAAACTTTTTGAGCCGCGCCCCCCTTTGAAAAATTTTACAAACTTCGCGCCCCCCCCCCCTCTTTTTGATTTGAAAAAATGCTTTTGTGATGGACAAGTTGTTATATATTAAGATGGCGCTATCTATAACTTAGTGTTGGTCTCATAGCGTCATTGCTCAGATTGTTTAGGCATAAAACGCTTCGGAGTACAACTTCGCCATTCACTGTCGATGTATAAAGCCAAATAGTGGTTGGTCATCATACATTCTCGTTTTTCCGCTCAGTTTGCAATTCTTGGCAAAGTCAAACTAGTTATTAAGTAAAACTAAACAAGCAATAAACTTATCCTTTAATGTATTTTCTGCTTAAACCTTTACATAAGACACGTAAAATTCCAATCAATTGTTGTCGATAAAGCGTTTGCAATTGCATTTTGTTTAAATCTCCATTGTTTACGGCAGCGTGGCGTGTTATTTAAGCCCTACAAATCTTGATTTCGGTGTTTATTCTTCCTAAATCCGAAATTTCCCTCGACATATTCTTGTGCCGCAAAGACGATTATAATTACTTTTTTTTGTTCTCGCATGGAACCATGACACCTCTGAGGAAAACGAGTTAGTTTTTATAATAATCATCAGCGACGAGATGCTAATGATAGAATAAAGAAGTGAATCCGCAACTAAAAATTTCTTTATTGTAAAAGTGGGGATATAAAATACTAAAAATAAAACGGAAAACGCCATGAGTTTTGTTTTGGGGTGGACCGCGACAGATTAAAAACACTTCCTTAGACATTGAAAATCTCATAAATTCCTTGTGCGTGCTCCACACCAGTAGTGTTCTAAAACTACAGACTTGATATAAATTTTACTCCGTGGGATCGCAGACTTAGAAATATCTGTAACGGTGATATCTTGAAATTAATCGAGTGGCGGCATTGCGATAGAGCGGAGTAAGAGATGCAGGGACAGCTCATGTTGGTGAAATTGGCAAGAATACAAATCAAAACAAAATGTAATCGAAATTTTTATTGTTGCGGATTACCGTGTTATTTTGGAGTACTGGTGCTTTTATTTTGTCGACGCAATCGCAGATTTAATTTATCACGATTAAATGAATAAAGCAACCATTTTAAATAAGTATATCAATCATGAATTGAATATTTTATTCAACAGAAAAACTATTACATATCCGTTGAAAAAGTCGACTGGCGTAATCTCGAGGACTGACTCAGAAGCCGTACCTCGGGGATTTCGTTTCGATGAATATGAATTTTTCATCTACTAATATACTTTACATGTATTTTAATTGTACTAAATTAAATATACTTTCTGGGATATTATACCAGATCTTTCTAATGACGACAACGAATTCGCATGAGGGCAATATATAAACTAAATATAATCGGGCAATTGATCACACTTTATTATGTCCGCGGATTGGCGTGGTATTTTACATAGGTAATGAGTTTATTTTGTCGTGAGTCGCCGCAACCGCGAGTTACCTTGAACACAAATGAATTAAAATAGAGAGACATTTTGAATTATTGTAGTTACTGTATTACGAGACAGAAAAATTTAATTATAACACGAAAAAGTCGGTATTTTTAACGAACGAGGAGACCGCTTCAGGAGCCGTTACATGTAAATTTACGATTCCATCTTGTGACCTCTCAAATTCTGTGCGACTGCATCAGTTTGTATAGGTTTCGTGTACATTTTGCTGTTGGTTTGAGTTTAGCTTAAAGTTCACCACCGATGTGATATTTTAGTTTGGTTCATTTTGCAGTTTATTCAGATATAACGCAATACGCCACTTAACTTGATATTTTACTATGTTATGAGGAAAATGTAAGACTTAGAATCCCCGGGATAATATGTGTTCGCATTTAATATTGTGTTGTGCATTTCCACTGCTCCTTTATTTAAGTAAACGGCATGTATTACCATAATGATTCCAAGCTTATCGCCTGATAAAAATGATATCTTATCGTGTTTTTTCCCTTGTACTTTATGTCACATGGTGAGATTGTCCGTGCAGTTTATATCTCATGTTTTAACTTTATCTGGATCTTTGGCAGTCTTCATGGATTTTCTTCTGTGTGTTTGTCTTGTGTAACGTAATTATTTTTAGTTATCATAGTAGCGATATTTAAAATATTCTTATCTCATCATCATCTATTCTATTTTTTTACAGTATCCACTGCAGTATCCACTATAGTCGAAATTTAAATGTAATTTGGTTTGTCAATTCCTTAGAAGGTTTAAAAATTGGACTCAAAGTATTTTTAAAGTACTTTTATTTTAATTTTTCTCCCTCTCTCACTCCGAATGCGAAATTTGTCATGCTTATTTTGGCATATTGCAAACATGAAAACTTGTTATTGCACAATAGAACGAGGCAAATATGGGTATGTTACAAATCTTTGAACGCGATACCATTCTGCCCTGCCTTAAATGGACGATTGTTAGGGTCTTATTGGACATGGAGTGTAGGCCTACATGTGGATCGTTTGGTTATTATGTTGTTGTTCTTGTTAGTCATTCTTTTCTTCTTATTGATATGAAAAACCCGCCTTTCTAATTAACTACTGGAGAAATTGCTTTAAAATTTTCGGTGGTTAAATATTGTATTTGTCGCTAGAAGGCTATAACTGGTAATTATTTGGCTGTGGGCTCTGTACGATTCGTTTTCTGTGTGCGATGACGTCAATAAAATTAAATATTGCGCAATTTGGACCGGTTTCGCGTTCGTACATTTTGGTATCAGGCGTGAAGTCGTGAAGGCTGCGTACCCTGCTATCGGTAGTCTACTGTCAACGATTACAAACATGTACTTCTTGGGCATATATTTGGGCATTTTTCTCTCTCTAATATGGTTGGCACCATACCGGGCTATTTAATTTAAACGTAAAATATTTTTTCATCGAACATGCCTTATCCTGTCATTATTCTCCAATGTAGTTTGTTTAGACCAGTGGTTCCCAAACTAGGGTCCGCGGACCTTTTGGGGTCCGTGAAGTACTTTTCGAGGGTCCGCGAAAGAAATCTGTTGGATGGCTCAAAGTTTGATAATGCAAAAATTAACTGCTTAAATTTGGAAAAACACATTTATCGCATTATGATGCTTTACAATCTCTGCTGAGGACACTGATTCTTCACTTTTTGTTTCGATTAGGCTTTCCCGATTGTGACGTCACAAAGTTATGGCAGCTCCTGCCACGAACAAACCGCGGCGTCTCATGCCATGGTTTAATGGCGCTATAATTTAGTAATCAGTATTATCGGCATATTAACAAAGTCATGCGCCGTATTTTTGTTTAATATACCAAAAAAAGTACCAACCTACTCATTGTTTGTCACCAACAGGGGCAGCCCTGCCAATACATCCGACATGCCTTGGTTACGGCATCAAAATTTTACCCGAC